TGGAAAGGCACCTGCCCTAAAAGGAGCACGTTTTTTACAAACTGCAAACGTAAATCAAAGAAGAATTGCACCCAGAAAACTGCATATATTTTTGCACCATCTAAGTTGAGTTTGAATTCGCCACTACGCTAATAGGCCATTTCCGATTTCCGAAAATTCTCACTTTCAAAACGAGGCTTGGTGCAAAACCTTTGTTGTGAAAATGAGTTTTAAATGATTTGCATGAGAATAAAAAATCGTTTCCATGTCAATGGCTTCGCACTCAGCCTCGTTTTGAAACGGAGGCTTAGGCAACTCAAAAAGCCAAGGAGGCGCAAAGACTTTTGGGATCGTTTCTCGTTTCTGCCATCGACCAATCATAACTAACGCTTGTCCACCCGACAGATCCCAGCCGACGTCGTAGCAGAGAAAGCTTGTAGCCATTCTTCCCTGAAGTTTAAGAAATGTCAAATTGATTGATTGATTGATAGTCCTACTGATTTTTTAACGTGTGATACAATTTTGTCGAGCCCTAAGAACAATGGCGCTTTTCACGGCTGACAAGCTCTTACAAAACTTGGTAAGATATCCGCGCTTATGGTGTTATCGGTTAAACACAGAATCTGACATACAAACCTCCATTGACATGATGGAATCTGTCCTGGCTCTCGAGGCTGATTCGGGACGCTCCCTTCCTGAGCCCGGTCGCTGCCTGGTAGCTGAGTCCGGCCGTGAGTCTTTCATTGTTTCTATTGTTAGGTCCTCCTGCTGAACCAAAACACAATCTTTAAAGAGTGATTTCTCGATTACTTTACCCTTCTTTCCTTAGAGTGTCCAGGGCAATAATTTTTTTAAAAAAATCAAATTTCATTTCGTAAAATACCAAGAAGTAAAAAGTAGTATGCCAAAGTTCTACCAAAGAGGTTTTATTTGAATAGTAACACCATAAAATTTCGTCCACAGATTAAAAACGGGTGAAAAGTATTAAATCTTGTCATAAGTTGATCTATCAGTAGTTTCATAAGCTGACTAGGTTTATGTTTGTCTTTTTTTTGTTTTGTTTCAGAAATAACAGTGCTCCACACAGCAAGTATTTCCAAAACGATTTGAGACACTTTCCTTAATGAATGTGCATCATCGTCTGTCCCATTCTTATTAAAATTACGGTTTTCATCAACTTATACTTCAAAGTCGTAACTTCGGGTGCACTTCTTTAGGAGAATCCAAGATTAGACTTCTGCCTCTACGCTGTATTTCCACGTAGTGTATTCTATTATGCGGTGCAAAGTAACCAGTCTCTCAATGAAAATGTCAACCTCTAAGCATTAAATGCAAGGTCGTTTATACCTTGGAATACGGAATTTTAGTAGCGAAAAAAATCCACATTTTTTACAAACCTCTCCTTTCAGGACCGGTTTTTTAATTTTCTACCAGTTAGCATAGAAATGGCTAAAAATGAGATTCTCAATATTTTTTTCGCATATTTCCATTAAGCTTCATTTGTTTTCTTTCTCTTTTTCTTTCCTTTTCCTTTCTTTTCTGTCTCCCCTGAATTCGTTACTTATCAACTTAATTACTTAAACTGAAAGCTAAGTCGGTTCAGAAATGCAAAATCTCAATGGTTCCATGTTGACCCGAAATGACCCGATCCGTGGTCAAGGGGTTAAGCGTCATCTCAAAACTTCAACTTCAATTCAAACTCAACGATTCTGAGCAACCGCTTCCCTGTTGAAGTTATCAAAGCAGCCACTTCTAATTTCCTTTAGCTTAGTGTTTGCCAGTTTAAGCAAAAAAGCCTACTTACTAGTAAGCACTGATGAGATAAGCCTCGTACGGAGAAAGTCCGTCAATGATGATGTTTACTGCCAAGTGTCGGCACTGTGAAATTTTCTTAAGTCTAAAATCTTAACCTGTGTACAGAGGAAGCGTCTGTACACAGGCTATAAAATCTCAGATCTTTTTTTTTCCTCTAAACGAAACTATGCGGAGGATGTTACTGACCTCTGTATCACTGATCCAACTGTCCTCTCCGCTCTCCAATCCACCAACTCCGCTGTCAGAGACTTTGGATGGTACACCGTCTTGATCACTTCCCATAGAATCGATACTACAAAACAACAAAGAAAAGCGGCTTAAGCATTACAGTTCCGTATCCTCCGGATCACTTCATATAGAATCGATACTACAAGCAGCAGAGAAAAGCGGCTTTCTCATTCAATGCCATATCACTGATCTGAAGAAACGCTTTTGATTCGAGAACCAAAGTTGCTTGTGACACCCCGATACCGAACCACTGTTCAAAAAGAGTGGGGGACGTAGACCCCGGTTGTTTCCTGGGCTGGGTGGGTGGGTTATTTGTAAGGAGAGATGATCGTCATGATCCTCCTTCAGGAGTCGAAATGGCTACCTGTAAACAGTGTATGATGTATGATGTGTATCATACATGCGCCATACGATTTATAGAGTTGCTAACTCAACGACCCACCGCCTTGCTATACATTTTTCAAAATAATCTCTTAATAAATGTAACTTTTTGTTCACCTCTTTCTTCTCTTGCTTTCGCTGGTCATTAGTTGAGCAAGCATGCTGTCTTGTCTTGTGAGTTCTTTTTCTAAACGACAAATAGGGAGGTTAGTTACCGCTAAATATAAACTGAATTATAAAGAATTAGCTTTCAAATACAACAACAACTTACTAAATTTCCTGAGGAGTTTAACTAAGTCCTCATGGCCGTATTCCTACAGTGAAGAAAACATTATTTAAATTTTTATTTGTAATCAGGTGCACAAACTGAATTAACACTACTCTGAGCAGTAATAAGCAAGTTGCTTCTCATGCAGACGTTCTTAGGGCTTCGTCACGCGTTCCTGGAAGATTGCGTGACTAGCCAAAAGAACGTCTGCGTGGGAGGCTAAACAAGAGGTAGAGCAACTAAATCAGAGTAAAAGATAAGCAGCATATTTTACCTCAGCAATATCCAGCGGCATACGTCCATTGTTATCAACCACATCTACTTTGGCTCTGTTAGCAATAAGCCACTTTACACACTCCGTGAATCCACTGCAACAAAATAAAAGCATTTGAACAAATGTACTCTTTCTAGGTCGCTTGCGAGGAATTTACAAGGGTTGCGAAGTGGTGAGAGCACTCGCCTCTCACCAACGTGGCCCGGGTTCAAATCCCGGCGTCAACACCAAATGTGGGTTGAGTTTGTTGTTGGTTCTCTCCCTTACTCCGTGAGGTTTTTCTCCAGGTACTGTGGTTTTCTGCTCTCCTCAAAAACCAACACTTTCAATTTCCAATTGGATGTGGAACGCACAGAAACATTTAAACGAGCTCTTAAGAATCCTTAAGACTAAGTGCTTCGAGGGTAAACAAAATTACAGTTACAAATTTAATATTCAACTGACCTCATACAAGCAAGGTGAAGAGGAGTAAGTTCATCAATTGTCCTAGAACTCAACGTACTTCCCATGGCTGAGAGGATCTTATCAAAAACAGATAAATGAAATCAGTAAAGAACAATTGGTAAAATGTGTCGGAATTATAAATGTCTTAGCGCTCATAAGTTGTTAAGAGAGTATGATTGCTTTCAGGGACGTGTGCTATTTTGGAAACTACATGAGAGTTTTCTAGACCATTTGGTAAATTGTAGAGTAAAAGGAATTAGCAGAAACTCGCAATAGAATCGACTATTTCATTGTTCTGCGGCTTTTACAACTTCTTAAACCGGAACATGAATAACCAGAAATGGACGCCAAGAAATTCGACAGAGTGTGATTGGGACAACCAAAAATAATCGAGTAAATCAGTGAACAACTACCCTTTACGTTTTCAAGACTGGGTTCTGGACAGGCAAAACAGCTGCTTAACTCCCTCATCTATATATTGCGTTCCGCGATATAGCTTATTAGCCACATTAACACTTATTTTTCAGACTGTTGAACTGTTGCAAGATATCGCCTAAGTTTAAGAGTTACTAACATGGCCCTTCGAACTTTACCCACAAAACAAAGGGCCATTTCCGAACTTTGATAACCTTTTATACAAAATTTCTATGATAATTAATTTTCCACCATGCTAGATACAAGACACTTTCCCTTGTTTTAAAAAGGACGATTAAGGCAACTTAGAAATGGCTAATTAGTTTTTTTCTTTATTTGTTTGTTTGGTGGTTTTTTTTCGTAGTAGTTGCTGTTTCTTTTCCAACCTACCATCATGCAGTTCACGTGACCATTCATGGCAGCCAAATGCATGGCGGTATAGCCAGTCGGAGTCTCCTCTGCTAGGTCTACACCGCTGACTGCTAGCCACTTGACGCAGTCCAGTCTGCCGTTGGCTGCAGCTAGATGCAGTGGGTTCATACCACGTTCATCAGTCTTGTTTTTCATCTCGGGAACTACGCTTATCAATTCTTTGATTCGATCAAGGTTTCCAGTTTTGGCGGCGTCATGTATTGAAATACCTTAACGGGTGAGAAAACAGTTAACACTGCACCGGGTGATAAATCAAAGGGCAATCAAGAACTTTACCACCATAAAACGAAAAATTGAGCGAAACAGTTCCAGAGGCAAACAGCGAAAAAATGGAACACAATAAGTTTGACTTTCCCACTGATTCTTAGATAAAAAATATCAATGGATAAGAAACTTTATATGTCATGTGTGAATAGATATAAAAAACTTAATTTAAGAATAAATTTGGGCGTGTTCACTTTGATCCACCTTAAAAGTAGCCTAAGATCAAACACGGTTCCTATATCTCTCTCTATGTCGCAAAACGCCTAATCGCACGTTACTAACGGCTCAGAGAGACAACACAATATTCATCCCAAAATTACATGGGAGTAACGTTGCACCGGGTTTTTCACATCTTAATTTTCTTCGCCATTTTACCTGGGATTTTCTGAGTACGAGACTACAACATAGCATGTAATCTGCAGTGCTTCTGACTGGTTGAAGCACATTTCCCTCGCGGTACCACCAATCAGAAGTACTACCTAGATCTGGATAGTGACACGTCATAAGTACGGAATTTTTACAGTCGTTCCTCAGACAACTTTTCGCAGGAAAACCAGTAGTGCCCATGGTGTTGCAAAATGTCGGCTATTTTCTCAGGCTAAATATTTATCAAAAACACAATAATTCTCAGATGCTGCAAACATTAACAAACCTTTTCTCAGGACACTTTCACTCTCATGTACAGATTCTTTGTGTCGCTCTCGTTCCTTCTCGTGTTTTGCGCGCACTCCAGCCTTAAATCCCTCGAAAAATTCTTCACTCTGGGCAGAAATAGGTCGCTCACGCTCGTTCTGTCGAGAAAATTATTGACTTTGAATTTTTCACAATCAGTCAGACGATAAACAGGCCCCTCAGTTGGAGAAGAGCGTATAAATTAAAGGGCTACGTTTCTACGAAAACTGGGGTGTTGCATCGCTGGGGGAGTGAAATACAAAGATTTGGTTTTATCAACTGTATTCATAAGGAAGAAATAGCCACCGTAAGGAAATAAATAATCGATTCGCTCTGACGAAGGGCTAGGACTCGAAGAATCAGTTTCTCCATCTCCCTGCAATCACAAATTTACCTCACCAACTCGGTTGATAAAAGCAAATCTTCCTAAATTTTAAAGCTCGTTCGCTCCAACTCTCGACAGAGTGAAGGTTCAGAGTCTCACCCGTTTTAGGCGTTTATATTCTGGAGGCATCGGAAAGACACAAAAACAGCGAGGAGACCGGAAAAATGTTTCCCCTCCTTACTTTCCCAGTATCCCTCAGCGCTGTATAGGACGCCTCGAGAATCGGACTGTCTGGAAAAGGCAAGGAAAGTGAGAAACTGCGTTGGTGAGGGAATGAAACGCCCAAAATGAGTCGCATATACTAAATTGTCATATTAATTTTACCACAGTAAAGAGATTCAAAAGCCAACATTTCAAGCTCTAGCCCTTCTTCTTCGTCATCGTCTTCGCCTTGATGAAGGGTTGGCGCTGGCATGCTGGCTTTGAATCCTTTGCAGAAGGAAAATTTTAATTTATACACTTAGCTTGATAAAACTAAACTTATATAGCCTATACGTAAGTCAATCAATAAACGTTGCCTCGCATACAAAGTAGGGCCTGCACCAGAAACAAAACCTACACATAAAAGACTTTTTGCCCAAATAAGAGTTGAACTGCTAGCAGTGTGTATATTCAGGAGCGGCTCCTGGTCGAAGATATTTCTTCAGTGCTCTTGCGTGTTCCGCTCAAGAGTAAGTGCCATTTAACAACACAATTCAGTTGCACGGAATTTCTCCGGCGCAATTTTTTTTTAGTTAAAGTTAAGCAGTATTTTTTCAGGTTAAAGATGGCAGGATCTTTTTCCCCCATTTTTCTGTCTATAAACTAAGAATGATCTTACCTCAGGTTTTGTATCACCAGTAAACTCGACCCGAGGCTCTTCCTCTTCCTCTTCCTCTTCCTCTTTTTCAGGCGCCGCTTCCTCTACGTCCTTCTCCTGTTCAACTTCGTTTTCACCGCTTTCGTCTTCTTTTTCTTGTTCTTCCACTTTTGTTTTTTCTTCCATTTTTTCCTCTTCCTTGTCTTGTTCTTCTGCTCCAAACTCTTGATCCTTAGTCTTCCTTCCAGCCGCTTTCTTGAACGATGTCATAGCAGTAGTGACAAGTTTGAGATTATCTAACCCGTTCTTTGTTACAGTTGCTCTCTTTCCACCTTCCGTCTCCTCTTCTTCATCTTTCTCTTCTTCTTCGCTTTCACTTGAATTTTCTGCCTCCTCTCTTCGCATTTTACCCTGTGTTCTTGAATTCTCCTCTTCGTCTTCGCTCTCGGAATTATCGCTCTTATCATCGGGGTCGAAAAACTTCTCGTTTTCCAGTTCCTCGACACCCCCTTGCTTGTCATCCTCGCCTTCGCTGATATCAAACAGGTTTTCAGCCTTTACAGCGATAAAGCCGTCCTTCTGAACATCGCTTTCACGGGGAGTTGGTACTGGAGGAGGTTTGGACACGACTGGCTCGGTCACATGCTTTGAAGTCTTCTCTATATGGGATTCCTCTTCGCTCTTTGGCTTCTTTTTAGCTTCTCTTAAGTCAGGAGCAGGAACATTATCTTCATCGCTTGAGAAACTGTCGCTGTCACTAGCGCTTCTGAAAAAGTCTTCGTCTCGTCTCTCGTCGATCCTTGGTAAAACAGCTACAAGATGGGACGCTGTGCAAAAAGCGAAAGAGAATACGATAACAGTAGAGATTAAGAAAAGAGCTTTTTACGTAACTAAAAACATTGTCACATTTCTAACTCGCGGATAAAATACAGACCTTTAGGTCCTTTAGATTCGAGGACGAAGACGAGATTTCACTTAAAAGTGTTTTGGCGTATTCTCCAAAAATAGACACCCCGGAAAGCTGCATTTTACTTTTTTCACCCGAAAAGTTAATACGGGCTATTTTTATTGAAGAAGTTAAGCCCTCCCCGATCACAAAATGATAAAACTTCCGTCACTAAAATTTTCCCTAGAACTCATAGTAGAAGGACAGCGGCTATCGCGTTTTCCAGCCAAAATAGGCACTTTACGATCCGACGACGCGATGGCAAGGAGAACGTCTAACAAACAATAGGTTTAGAAGGCAAAACAACAACTTTACACGTGCATCACACTTTTTTGTACATTTCTCCGCTGTTTTTGCACGAACACGACGTGAAATTGCCTAATTTCTAACAAGTGACGACGAATTTTATTTCTCTTTCTGAACTTGGATAGGGATCCCAGGAACTCAACTCCAGGAGGGTACGCCAACTTTTGATATAGTAAATAGGTAGGAATATTCGCGATAAAGACTGGAAGAACGTAACTTCACTTTTTAAGCGACATTTTCACTACCATCGCGTCGTCGGATTGTAAAGTCCCTAATGACACTAGTTAACGCGCGCGCTTCTTAGTAACCACAAGAACATTAAACAAGAAGAGACTTATGTTATACCTGGTAAGACATCACAGACTGGTAAATCACGAATAATCTGTCCGTCATCATCGCGCGAAGATAGCCACCTGAATAAAAAACAAAAATGAGATAAAATGAGGTAAACTTAGAGGAATGGCGTGTGACAAATACATTTAAAAATGCTAAAATCGACCAAGAGGGACCTAAATAAGTTTAACGGATAAAATTGAATGCATACATTGGCTGTAGAAAGATAGCGTATTTTCAAGTACTACACGACCCGTAGCCGAGTGCAGGATGAAGAATTTCGAGATCATTCTATGGACAGCAAGTGTGTTTATTTGCCAGTAAAGGAGAAACAACAAGTCTCGCTGTAACCCCTGTAAAATGGATACTCTTCAAAACAATGGCAGTGAATTATGAAAGAACCAAGGGGACGTCACCGCAGCAGCAGCAGAAAGGTAAAACATATTATATTTGTAAATAGTGACGAAAATAATTCGAAGTATGCTTTCAAAGGAAAGATAAAACAAATGATTAAAATAATTCTGTAAAATTCATAACATGTTCACTGAGGGGGAGGGAAGTCATTGGCGAATAAAAATTATGCATCCATTATACGGTATATCATTGACAAACTCCAGTCGGCCAATCAACTTCCAGATTTTGTCCAACACTCGCGTAGACAATAAAACACACACACCCACCTGTTGCATTTGAATTCAAACGCCCTCGTGGCCTCGGGACCTTCCTTGATATAAACTTTGTCTAAGAACCAACCATAACCTGCAAGTACCAATGATTTAACATTCAGCAAAATGAAGGAACAGATTACCTCCGATAGTCAGATACTGACACTAACTCACCTAACTTCGTTTCGTTATGTCCAATTCTGATACTTGACAACTTTCCAAGGAAAACTGAATCTATGACAAAAATGTCAACCTAAAAGAATAAAACAAAAAAATAGTTTTGGTAACGCTTATGTAAAGCCCGAGGGGTACTCCCTATATTGGCCTATACGGAGAGGCTCCGCCCGAAAGAGGTACCTTTTGCAGGCTTCAGGTTATGACAGGGTATGGAATATATGAAAAGACAGGAAAATCTATCGAATAAGTAATTAAAAAGGACTTTACTTTAAATGTTTCGAAAAGACGCGCCTTTGTTTTATATGGCTATACAACTGACAGGACGACCTTCCGTTTTGATTTATTCTTATTAAGCAGGGAGATGAAGTGAAATTGGTACCATTTTTCAGTGGAAGATATGCGAAAGGGATACCTTTTCTGCCAAAAATGGTATATATAAAAGAGTAAACGGTTGGACGTTGGGATGGCGCCTCCCTGTATAAGACTTTGTTGAGTGGCCCCCGGGACGTAAAGTAAATTATTTTCGTGGAATATGCAGCACACATTTAAGACAAAAATATGAGGGTTCCTATTTTTCGCTCCGATTCGCGATCTTCATACCTGTCCTCGCTGGAACTTCGATCTGTGCGTTCTTGATCGTAGTAACTGCCTCTCGCCAGAGTTGCCGTATTCTCCGAAAATAGTCAACTTTACAGCAGCCTTTGTACCGGCACCTAACTTGTCACCCGTCAGGATGTAAACTTCATAGGTGAGAACTGTTGAAAGGCAAAACAACAGAACAGCACTTGGTTAGTTTGCAATGTTACAGCATCAACTTTGTACTTCTCGTATCGTTATTTGTTCGGTATTTCATGAGAATTGCAGAGTTGAATCTGCGCAAGCACGATAAATATAGTCAATTCGTTGTCCCTAGTCATGCAACCATGCTGTGTTTAATATTTGAAATATGTTCAATGCAGTCGCCCTAAGTCGCCCAAAGTATTGATTGCTTCAAACGTGACCCTCTCTAATTTTCATGAAAATTTCCTTCATTCAGAAGCAAAAACAGATGACGTTGAGTTGTTAAGTAGCCATAACAATAGGCAAGCGGGAGTAGCAAGATAAGCGGTAGTAGCTACAATCATGGACAAACGTCTTGGGACGCTTCTGCACTTCTGAAGCGTTGTCCAATTCACACATGCCCAAACCCTCCCCTCACCCCACAAACAACGTTGGACACGTGTGACGCGAAGTTTTTTTCCCAGTTTCGACTTTGTGGGAGAACTGCAAGAAAATTTCGAAAGGTTACAATGTTTTATGAGGGAAGCCAGAAATTACAGAAAATTATGAATACTGCATTAATGTCCCAAGGACTTTTGTCCGGCATCGTAACATCACCTCAAGGTGGGACGGGCAGGATTATATATTATGCTACAGGCTGAAATTGGCGCCAAATAAATTAAACTTAAAGTACCTTTAGGCTCTAAATCCCTGTTTCTCGTCTGTGTTTCTGCGGAAAGAGGTGTTGATGTTGGGATGTCTGTGGTACTTGCTCCAACTGTTGCCGTCTCTGTAGAAACATACACCTCTTGGACTCTCTCTAACGGCGTTTGTTTGACTGGCGACAGTCTTGAAGGGAGGATAATATGTCTGTCAATCTGATCCAGTTCTTCGTCATACTGTTTAACAGTCTGTGTACCTGTAATGATGTAAATGAAATTTATGCAAGGTTAACCTAGAGACAAGGGGTTTGAGTTGGCTGCAGCACTGTGACTGAATATGCAGTCTTCCAGCTGGCCTTCGTCTTGTTTAATTTTCACCTCCCCTCCCCTCCCCTCCCCTCCCCTTCCCTCCAATGCTTTGCTGCCTTTTGTGCTCTAGACTGTTAGCAGTCTAGGAGCAGTAGCGTGTGTAGCCACTAATCTCCCGTGTTTTGCTACCTAGCCCGCAAGCAGCTTTCCAGGGATGACAGGGGGGAAAGAGCTCCCCAGCACTGTCCCCTTGCCCCCTCCGAGTTTGCCAGCAGGCTACCCTTTACCCCTCTTCCACCCCACCCCACCTACCATACTAACAGGCTACCATTCACCACTCAGGAAAACGAGAAGGGTAACGGAGCCACAATCATCATTACTGGGACGCGCCGGTCAGCCATTGACTAATTCTTTTTCCTCGACCTGTCCCCAGTAACAGTCTCAGAAGTCTTTGCGAAAGTTAGCTCGGTCCAATTCCCCTCTCGTTTTTAAAGTGGCGAATTAACGGCGAATCTACGCGTAGCTTCAGATCAGCTGATCAGATGATCATAAAGCAACTCACCTGAATGAACAACTGTCTGTGTAGACATATCAATCATTTCATGTTCACTTTCCATCCATGATTGCCTCGGAGTTGTACGCGTGGAGGACAGTCTTGGAGATCCTCCACTTTCAAATTCTTCATCATCGTAACTATCTTCCTCGGTCCGTGACTTCTGTGGAACAGCCGCACTTCTAGGTCTAGTTTCTTTTGATTGGTGCTTTGATGCAATGACACTGCTGCCACGCCCCTCTAAATTCATGCGTCCAACTAATGACCTACAAAATCACCAAGAAAACATCTCAGCAAGGGCACAGACACCAGTATGTAAATACATGCTGGAGATTCTACTCTCTACTATGACTGTTTCTATTTTGCCTTATTTAGTATAATTAGAGACCTTAGGAATCCAAAATGAGAACAACTACAAGAACAAGATTTTCACATAAGCAGTGCGTGCGCACGTGCGTGACTATCATTTTGGCGGGAAAATGCGATAGCCATCGCCATTCTACTACAGGTTATGGTGTTGTAGTAACGGAAACAAGTTGTCAAATGTTAAAAGTTTTATCATTTTGCAATCGGGAGAGGGTTTAAGTTCCTTCCATAAAAATATCCTTGTTAACGTTTCTGGTGAAAAAAGTAAAATGAAGCCTGTGAGTGTCTATTTTTGGAGAATATGCCCGAAAAACTTCAAGTCAAATCTTGTCCTCGTCATTATTCACGTATGAAATGTTTATGTTGAATTTTATCCAGTTTCTGCACTGGCTCAAAACAAAGAGCATCATGCAGAGTCTTGGAAAATCATTGTAGAAAAAAAGTTGTTCCCCTGAAAAACAAAACAAAGTCATTTGTACACAAAGGAACAAGCAGCGAAGTTTTCTTCAATGATTTTCTTATTTTTGCACACGATGCAGACTTGACTTTTGAACCTGTAATACTGATCAAATAGTTCATGTGAACAAGTAAAAATGCACACAAATTTGAGCCAACTGACAAACTGGCGTAAACTTCATCATGGGCCCTCTAGGTTTCTCTGGACTTAGTTTATGACTTATAAGTATCTGATTCTAAGACAACTGTCACGTCTACGGGAGGGAGAGGATCTGGCTAAATTTTGGGTTAAAAAGTTGAAAACCAAGCTTTAGTTAAATAATGTTAACTTAAATTATACAACAACTCGTGTTTTCCTTTCACCTGAGGCGATCTTCATCGTCACTTTGTGATCCTCCAGGCAGCACAACATGGACACCACTTCGGCCATGTTTCTCTCCATCTCTTCTTGAAGAGGATGACTTAAAAAATGTGGATTCAGGTCTTCTGTGAGGAGCTGACCCTGATCTGGGTTTACCCTGGAAAAATGATTTCGAAAACTTCAGCCAAGAGGGACCAACATCAATAGTTTTTACATACATACATGCATACATTCATTGTGACTCCCTTTACAGGGCTTTTACAGGGCATTAAGAGATCAACTGAGTTGAGTGAATTTCGTAAGCATTTAAGATCTTTTAATCTTATAAACTTAAAAGCCAGTTGTAAGTGTATTATTTTTTGTATATCTTAGGGTTTTTTCTATATCTTAGATGTTTTTTTTTTTTATCTCAGGGTTTTTAACTTATTCCTACAATTTTTAGTTTTTAATTAATTCAGTAGGACGCGGGAGGGTGTTGCTTTGAACGTTTGAGCATTCACGGATATATTATTTTTATTTGTTTTTATACACGTATGATCTTTTAAATTATTTTTATTGAAATGTATTGTATTATTATAAGTTAGTATTTTTATTGTCATATGTTTCATACATGAGTTTCCAGCTCCAGTGATTGGGACAACCCCGTCCCACATATTGACATAAATAAATTGAATGAATGATTGATTGATTGATTGACTGATTTCGGTCACAATAGAAAGGTTATGCACCACGTTTACGTCAAACGGTAAACGCGAATTTGTACCACATGACCAAGTTTCCCCTTTACTTATCGTTTACTGGTCATTATTTCTACTCATAAATTAGCAGCTTCACGCAATTTTTTATCCAAAAGAATTGTTTTGAGCTGTTTTTATCACTCATTTTCTATTTTGAGAAACTCCCAACTTGAATCTGACGTTTGACATTTGCCATATACGTGAAGCTTAAACTCCCTAATATAAATTTTCTCCTAACAATGCAAGAGAAAAGGTTATTAAAAAACCAAAATGATCACGTAAGGGAAATGCTTTGATTTTTTATCAAATTCTCCCGACTAATTCTTTAAGAAAAGTATGGAGACCAGTCTCGAGAATTTGTATGCGGATAGTAGAAAGCATGCATGTACATTCAGCTATATGTCTTGTTTCATCTGTGGTTGGTGTTACCAATGAAAACTGCCACAAACCTTTGGAGGGGCAGGTCGTCGTGATACTTTTTGAGAACCTTCGGAATCTAGAGAAATGGGAAAAATTAATGATTATTTGAGGATAGAAATCAGTCCAGAGAGATAAGCCACAACTAGAAATATCAACGAGCTCTCTCAAAAAGTATCCAACTTGAAAAGTCCAACAAAATTAATATCATAAGATAAAAAAATGTAAACATTAGTCTTGTAGATCTCCACAACTCTTTAGCACATGTGTAGGTCTAGAGTACCTGATGAGAGTGACTCTGTGGCCACTTGGCGCTTCTTTTCTCTTTGAAGTCTGGGAATATCCTGAAAGTCAATCAACCAACCAATTTACTCACAGAGTCTGTTAATCAATGATCTAATCAACTAGCATATCCACATACCTGCAAAAATATCTAATTATTCTGTGCTAAAAAGATGAAAGAGAAAGGTGGATGCATGACACAGTGTATAAAGGATCCCTGAAGAGTTATCCCAAATGGTACTTTGTTACAAAAAAACCAGGACACAAAACCTTGCAAATCTTTTTCTTGAAAAAAAGGCAGATAATAATGACCTAAAATTTTGTTCATAACAATGTAAGCAAGGTAATAAACATTTTTAATTGATAAGTTACACTTTAATGTTTTACCTTTTCAGAAGCCTGAAATCCTTTGCTTTGCTTTTTAGTTGCAGGTAAAGCAACAGTTTCCTGAATTTAAAAAAAAAACAGAGATTTTTTACAGAAAGTATGTTAAATAAAGGATTCAAAAAAAGACCTAAGCAATAAATCTCCATTTAAGAATAACAATTTAATTTTAAAATAATATAACTTTTATGGTAACTAGTAACACTGGTAAAATGAACTCACTGCTTCATTCTCTTTGAATAATAGTGAGATCACAGCTTATATAGTTTCCTGAGGGTAGTTACATTGCATATACATTTAAGTGGTAACCCCTTAATTAAGGGACACAAAAAGTAAAAAAATGCATGAGTCAAAAATGACTGCTGGTAGTTGATAATTATAAGTATAAATAAAGTAATTTTCTGTAACAGGATCTTTGACAGACAAACTGTGAGTTACAGTGTATTCAAGCAGTGATGGTGTTTTTCTAAATGAAAAGTCATCAAACAGTAATCTGAAATCTTACCGTAGCAACAATAAGTTTAGTAGCCATGTTAACCAGTCTCTCCCTTTCATCTCGACTAACATGCTGAGGAGGGGATCGTCTTAGTATTCTCCTTGGTTTGCCAACCACATTGACAGGGAGTTTTCTGAAAACATAAAATGCACTATAAGTCTCATACTTTCCAGATGTTAGTGTTTGGCTCTAGCTACCTACCGGTACCCCCCTAGAGTGCCACCTTGCTGTTTCCAAATGAGCCCCCTTTGGCAAGTATAGATATATTGAGTAACATCTATCAAATAACTTGTTATTATAATTTGTATGATAGATTTAATGCTTTTGCTCCACTGTGAGATAATATTGGATTGTCCCAGCCAGTCATTCATTGACTAATGTTGTTGCTGTTGTTGTTGTTATTATAGAAAGAGGTACAAGCTATTAATAGTAGAAATGGTGGTTTAAGTTCAGGCTCTTGTCAACAGCATGTAGCACCCTGATGTACGAGAATAACTCAATTAATAAAAAAGTATATTGACAGCAGTACAACTTGTTATACGGTCGAACCTCTCTAATACGGACACCGAAGGGACAGAGCGAAGAGGTCATTATGATGACATCACTTTTATGACTCCACTTACAGTTTTAGGTGTTGAGTAGCTAAAACTAGGCTCATACTCGTTGTTAAACCACATTTAAAGTAATTAATGAGAAGTACAATTCTGAAAGCGTCTTTTGCTACTTTGCAAGTGCAGTTAACAGAAACTAGAACTTACAAAATCTAATAGAAAAGATCTTTATGCTATATGTAGTTATTGAAGCCTTCAAAAAGTCAGTTATGTTCCTCTGTGCATACTGGGCTCTATATCACCTTGCATAGCTCATCAGCCAGACTAGACGGGATTCACCCTGTGCAGATTCAGCTGATCAGGATTCGGGTTCGGCACTTGATCACAGCAGTGTCCGTAATAAAGAGGTTAAGTTTATATGAATTTACTCTCTGGGGCCAAGATATATATATACTTTTGTTTTCTTGCACGTGTGCCCGTGTGCATTTTTCATTTGCTATTGTCCAACTTGTGAAAAAACTAGGTTCAACGATAAATTCTTACTTCGCCGGGTTCTTTGTTACAATTTGAAAAGAACATGTCGTTTGAGCTTTTAAAAGCATCCGCCCTGCAATAAAAATTTGCAATGGCGAATTATATGACTGATTTTGGGAATGAGGAAAACAGCCCGCAAAGCAGCCGAGTTATGCGTCGTCACCAAATTGATAGGCCAAATGTCATGGCATGCATCTTAAGCAAGTTGCGAAGCATTTTTATTGATCGGGTGTATTAAAAAATGCGCTGTTCAGGGACGTGCTTAAGAGAAACTGTTATACTAACTTGACAACATTTGAGGCCGAGAGTTTAATTCGGTTAAGTGTAATTTAACTAAGTTAACCACCACGAGCTTAGCGGTCAAGCGGTTCATAAGCTTAGCGGTCAGGCGGTTCACAAGCGTAGCGGTCAAGCGGTTCACAAGCACAGCGGTCAAGCGGTTCACAAGCTTAGCAGTTAAGCGGTCCACAAGTTTAGCGGTCCACAAGTTAAGCGGTCTAGCGGTCCACAAGCTTAGCGGTCTACAAGCTTAGCTGACAAGCGGCCCACGAACGTAGCGGGCATCCAGCGGTCAATCCCATAAGTGCAGGCTCACATGGTTTGTGGTAGCTTTGTACACGGCTAGGATCTGCGAGTTCTTCATCGAGCGTTTGTGCAGTGGTCTGTGAAGCGGTTCATTTAGCGTCTTCCGCCTTTGTTAGCGATCTTTGGAGCGGCAGTCCTACAGCGTGCTTTTTCTTGTATCCTTTTTCTTTCATTTACGTTTCAAAGCGTGCGGGTCGTCACGTTCGTTCAGGATGCGTACCACGAACAACAGCTTGTCAACTATGTCTTCCCCGGTTACCGCGTCTTCGCCTTCTTCTAGCGGTTCTACCCCAGCTCCTACAGTTAACACCCCCGCTTCTCCGCCAAGTCAACCTGTTTCCCTGCCGGACACCAACGCGCTAGCACAGGCAATTTCAAGAGCTCTCGCGGAATCGCTCCCTCCGTTGCTATCTTCCCTTCGAGATTTAAGTGGCGGGAACTCAAACACGGCCGCGACGTCTGTTCCTCTCTCCTCGACTTCGACTTCTACGCAGTCTACGGCATCCTCCAGCTCCAGTACCCCTGGCTCTACCTCCCAGTCTTCAGGTACGCTTGTTGTGCCCTCATTTATTTCAACGTACAGCCCATCTGGCGGTCCTTCGGTAGTCTCCTCTCTTCCCGCCACGTCCTCCGCCAACTTGCCTGTAGTGGTTGGGGGCTCTTGTGGTGGCGCGACCGGAACCGAGTCCTCTACGTTCCCAAACTTCAGCAAAGCATTTGTGGTGGGTCCTGGCTATGCTCCAGTCCCCTATAAGCTTGTTTCAAAAATTACCGGAGGGCTTTTTGTAGACTTGGCCGACCTCCTTCCGGACAACATCAGAGCTCAAGAGATCGAACCCCAAGCGTTTTTGGAGGGAAAACTGGTGGTTTCAGGGTCGAAGAAACGGGTCATTGAAATAGCAGACATCATCACCTGGATTGAAGCCTTCACAATTTTTTCTATGATTCTTTGCCACACCTTCCCCTCTCGCTGGAAAGATTTAAATCAGTACAAATTACTCATCATCCAGACAGCAAGGCGCTTTTCTGACAAATCGTGGCTCCACTACGACATCGCCTTCCGAAAAGAAGCCGCAGCCTCAGGTTTAACCGACTGGTCTCGCATGCACCCAGACCTCTACAACTTTCACACCAGATCTCCAGTTACCACTTCAACTGCTTCAGGCTCCTCAACCTCCTCTGCCTCGTCACTGTCGGAGCCTCTTGGGTCTTCAGGCAATCCCCGGTCTAGCCAGTATTGCCACTCCTGGAACGACGGGCGCTGTCGCTGGCCCTTTGGTCGCTGCCGGTTTCGCCACTCCTGTGAATCGTGCCACGGGGACCACCCCCGCATCCACTGCCCTCACCGGTCCGCGCGGAGAGAACGGTCCCGCTCCCCTTCTCAATCAAAGGGGGGTCTCCGCCGTCGCTAGGCCACCTCTAGCCAATTCAGCTGTAAATAGTTTTGTTTCTGTTCACGTTGGTTCTCATGGTAACTTTTCAGCGTTAAGGTTGCGTTCTCCTTTTGTTTTACCTTCTCAGCAGCAGGGTCTGCCAAGTTCCGGTTCTTCGTTGTGTTCTCAAGCTGTTTGTCCTCTACGACCAGTTTCTCAGCTTACTCCCATTAATGTGGATAGATTCCAGCATGAACTCTGTCATCATCCTAACCCAGACAAAGTTGCATACGTGGTCCAAGGCCTTCGCGATGGTTTTCACCTAGGCTTCAATTACAGTACTTCCCTGAAGTCGGCAACAGGGAATATGGCTTCAGCACTCCTGAACCCTCAGGTCATTGACAATTACTTGCAATCGGAAGTTCAGTCAGGCAGGGTGGCGGGCCCCTTCTCCCAGCCTCCCCTCCCTGTCCTCCATGTGAGTCGTTTCGGCGTCATCCCCAAGCGCCACCAACCTGGCAAATGGCGTCTTATCCTGGACCTGTCTAGCCCTGCGGGCCACAGTGTCAACGACGGAATTGCGGGCGAGGATTATTCTCTGCAGTACATGAAGGTAGATGACATTATTGCAGGCATAATGCGGCTGGGGCGGGGTTCCCTCATGGCAAAATTTGACGTGCAAAATGCATACCGTATTGTGCCAGTCCATACAGAAGATCGCCAGTTGCTGGGTATGAAATGGCGTGGTGCCTTTTATGTTGATATGGTCCTGCCTTTTGGTGTCAGGTCAGCTCCTTATATCTTCACATGTATAGCAGATTTAGTGGAGTGGGTGGCCAAGCAAAACTACGATGTCACCTTCCTGATGCATTACCTTGATGACTTCCACACCCTTGGCCCTCCCGGCTCCTCTGTTTGTCAACATAATCTGGACAGGTCAATTGACTGTTTTTCTAAGCTTGGCATCCCCCTCCATCCAGACAAACTAGAAGGGCCGTCGACGTGCCTAACCATCCTGGGCATTGAACTGGACTCCCTTAATCTGCTGGCACGCCTTCCTCAGGACAAATTTGATAGGATAACTGCCTTGTTGGAGGATTGGTCACAAAAGCGTTGGTGCAAACGCAAGGAACTGGAGTCCCTAATAGGTCACCTTCAGCATGCCTGCAAAGTCGTACCCCAAGGTCGCTCATTCTTGCGCCGAATGATCAACCTGCTATGTGCCTTTCGACGCGATGACCACCCGATTCGTCTCAATCAAGAGTTCTTTCTTGACCTAGCCTGGTGGCAAGAGTTTTTCCAGTCTTGGAATGGTTGCAGCTTTCTTCAGTACCCCCAGTGGGCTCCACTTCCTGACTTCGAGGTCTCTTCAGATGCCTCTGGGGCTCTTGGTTATGGAGCAGTCTTCCAGGGTCACTGGTTTTCAGGTGCATGGCTCCCATCACAGGTCTCTCAGTCTATCGAGTACAAGGAACTTTTCCCTATCGTCGTGGCAGCTTACCTCTGGGGTCCCCAGTGGGCCTCCAAACGGGTCAACTTCCTATCAGATAACCGCTCAGTGGTGGACATTTTGCGGTCCGGCACTTCAAGAGCCCCTACCATCATGTCCTTGGTTCGCTATCTGTCCCTGTTGGCAGCTCGTCACTCCTTCTCGTTCACTGCCTCCCCAGTTAGAGGGAAGTCTAACCCCATTGCTGACTCCCTGTCTCGCTTTCAGTTTCAGCGTTTTCGCCGGCTAGCTCCTCATGCAGACTCCATTCCAACCCAGATTCCGCAGCAGCTCCTCTCGGACTTGGATCTTCGCTGTCAGATAAATACCACTTCTATTTGACTCAGGGTCTTGCCCCCTCCACTAGGAAAGTCTATGCTTCTGCCCAACGCCGCTTCTTGGACTTCTGTGCTCAGGACAATAGCCTATCTCCTTCAGGATCAGCTCTTCCAGCCAGTGAAGACGTGCTCATCCGTTTCTGCTGTCATCTTGCTGATACTCTACACCATTCATCCATAAAGGTTTACCTTTCAGCAATTCGGTCCCTTCACATTGACGAGGGTCATCCTTCTCCGCTGGTTGGTTGCCTTCGGTTACAGCGTGTTTTGCGGGGTATCAAACGTCACCAAGGCTCAAATAAGCGTCAGCGCCAACCCATCACAATCGAGCTGATGCACATTATCTTCCAGTCCTTGAACTTCTCTGACTACAACCATACAATGCTTTGGGCTGCCTGCTGTCTCGGGTTTTTTGGTTTCTTACGCGCTGGTGAGTTCACTGTCAACTCTCCCTTCAATCCTGACATCCACCTTGCTGTCAGTGATGTCCAAGCAGATTCCCTAGTCAATCCAAGCAGCTTCAGGGTTCATATTAAGTGCTCTAAGACGGACCCCTTTCGCCAAGGTTGCCATATTTACATTGGTGCTGGTAAACGTGATCTCTGCCCTGTACGTGCCCTTACCCAGTATCTACACGTCCGTGGCTCAACTCCTGGCCCACTCTTCCTTCTTTCTGATGGCACCCCTCTACATCGCCAATGGCTGTCATCCAGTATTCAATCTATCTTCTCCGCTGCTGGGGTCCCTGGTTGCTACACCGGTCATAGCTTCCGCATTGGCGCTGCTACTTCAGCAGCCTCTCGTGGCCTACCAGATCACCTCATCAAGACACTTGGCAGATGGTCCAGCGACGCATATCAGATCTATATTCACACTCCCGTCAGTACTATCGTGGGGGTAGCAAGCCTTCTAACTTGACAGGTATTTTCTTGCGTATCTTTCTCTTTTCCTAGTTGTCCTTGTAGGGTGCCTCGGGACTTGGGTAGTTCGGGGCCAGGGCTTCCCCCAGCCCTGAGCCCCTCTTTCCCTCTCCGATCTGGCTGCGTCAGCTCGGAGAGTCCCTTCGGCTTGGAATGGGGGCTCATGGCTGGGTTGCGGGGATTTGCCAGCCATGGGGGCAGTTTTTCTATCTAGGGGCTGGCTGGCCACAGTGGAAGCCCCTGGGTATCCCGGGCACCCACCTTCCACTTAAGCGAGGCAGTTGGTTAATTCTGTCTTCAGTGGGACGTTGCCTTACAGGCCGTGATTTTACACGAAAAAAGGTGGAATATTAATATATATGACCCGCAGTCCATGGTTATGATAAAATCTACTTCTATGAACCTAGTCAACGTCTTGCTCCGTTTTAATCAACTACTGTGATATTTTTGCTCCTTCCCACATATCCAATATCGACATCCACCGTCACATCTTCCTTCTCAAGAAAAAAAAAGTCAGCGGTTTCGAAAATACTTTTTTTTTTCATTTCATCTGCGTTGTTGTAAAAATGAAAATTATCATTGATGATTTTCTCCTTATCCTGTTACTACAACAATTATAGGACCTACAACTGACCGAATTCCGCATTCTTTAATTTTCAAAAGAATGCAAATCAAGAGAATTTGCAGACAATATTCGTGCATTCTCTTTTTTGTTGACAAATTGGAACAAAGAACCTGACGAAGAGAGAATTTATCGTTGAACCGAGTTTTTTCACAAGTTGGACTATAAGAAGTGAAAAATGCGCACGGGCGCACGTGCAAGAAAACAAAAGTATATATCTATCTATATATTTCTCTATATGAAAACCTTTTTGAAAACAGGTATATATATATATATATATATATATGAGAATTTCGTCGGGACATTAGAAACTGTCAGTAATAGAGTCTGAGGTGTCCATATTAGAGAGGTGTCCATACCGAGAGGATGGACCGTACTGTAATGTTTAAATTTACCATGGAAAAGAAATGATGACTAGGTTCCTTTGAATGGTGACAGCACAGGGGATTTATTTGCATCATATATGTCTTTAGCCATTCAATTTGCAATGTCTTCACACACACATACTTCAAATGTATCATGAGTTATTTCAAGCACTGAAAAAATGCTAGAACTGCTAAACTGCTAAACAGTAATATTTTTCTTTGGAGTTGAACAGTAATTCATAATGTACCTTCGTTGAGGGAAACATGAGGACTCAAGGGAAAGCAAAACTAACTGGTTTCCAGAGGAACTTGACATTAAGTGTTTTGTGATAATTATTTCTACACTTTCACTTCAACAGCAACAAAAGAAGCATAAGCTAGCTAGGCTTCATGTTTGTGTCGTTGTGTTCATTCATGAAAAAGAAAACTGTCGGTGTTTTTCCCACCTTCTGTCATGCCACTTTCCACAATGCTTTGATCACATGCTGTAATGTATCCCAAGTGGGGTACATTGCTTAAATTTATGTATCACAATCAAGACACATTATTGATTTTAGTCAAGGCCACATGACCAAGAATCAACCAATGGCAGTCCCTGTTTAGTTGAGTGAGAGTCTAGGAATAAAACAATGATTCAAATAATGTACCTTCGCTTAGCTCCTCTCTTTGTCTTCATATACTGGTCTACAGTTATCGTGGCTTGTGGTCGGTGTGGAGGTGGCTTAGGTGTTACCGTCTGAGGTATAGCATAAGGTGAGATAGGACCAGGCTTGAGTCTATAATCCACAGATGCCATGGTCTGGTCCATAAAACCTCTCACTGTACCCTCGCGGGCATCTTGGTTCCGAGCTGTGTGCATTTGTTGCAACTGCTTCTTTACGTTATTATTGTGAAAGTAATGCTTTAAGCTTCTGTCATGGATTCCATCATAATCTAATGTTGGACCCTAGATTTGAAATAAACAGCAAATCATGATCATAATTATTATATTTGTTGAAGTTAAAGCTTGAGGAATGTTTTGAAATAAGAGTGGTCTTGTTGAAAGCCAATTAGTTGACTAAGTCAGAGTGTTTTTGACACAAACCCCCCCCACGGTCCCCCCAAAAAAACAGCATTAAAAACAATGTTTGGCTTGCAAGCAAGTAAAACATGCAGAAAAATGTAGAGTTCAAGTTTGTCCAGAAGTGCAAGCAGAAGATGCAACTTAACTGCAGCTGCCAAGAATTTTTTTCCAGGCCTTCTTTATGCAGATGTTGTATCTATAACAGCACTGCAATGATCTTCTTTACGTTTAATTCTTTATCCCACAGGTCTAATATGTGATATTCATATGTTCATTATTTGAAATCAGCCTCGTACATGTAAGTCAGCCTTGCAAATTTTCACATACACAGACTCAACTCAATGAAGCTTATTTATTTGGTTTTTGTTATTAAAAAAGGACCATACAGTGTGTATATCCATGGCTGAACTTTCTTCTTCCTCAAAGCAAAAATTGACCTGATACGTGAAAAACAAGGAAATGACAAGCAATTCAAAAGTAGACATGGATTAAGGAATTGTGATGAAATACAATTTTGCATAACTAACCATTTACAATCATTGCATTAGTTTGTGTTTTTAAACTCCAACTTCAGGATGTAACACATAAATCAAACTGCTAAACTTTAAAGAGTGGTTTGATATGAAAAAACAATTCAAATTCTTACAGCTCTTAAAGGAACTGGATCCTCTCTGGGATAACATGGCCCAGATAAATCAAAACCATCTTCTCTTCTCTGAACATCAAGATAATACTTCCTACAAGTATGCAAGAGAGAAAAAAATGCATTAACAGATTCTATTAAGGCTATAAACATAAACTGTAAAATAGTAAACACTAAGATGTTAGTGATACTAATGATGAAACCTATAATATTATTACCCATTGATTGCCTAATTTTAGTAATGAAAACCAAAAAGTTATAAACAAGGAGAAGACTAAGTAGCAAAAATGCATGAAATTTGATACATAGCAAGCTTAGTATTCTATAGCCATACTTCTCTTGACTTCCATACTCAGATTCTCCAGAATCAGACACTGTTTCCAGGAAGTGAAGGCAAGAATTAGGGCACAAAGGACGATGATTAAAAGATTTCCTTGAAGTTCTCTTCATGTATTATTCCAGAGAAGGAAATTACACAAAAACATTCTCAAGCTCAGTTCACAAGTTCCAGAAATGTAAAATCACCAATTTGAATTACAGAGTAAGTTCATGAACAACACTGTACTGTGGTCAGAGTCAAAATAAGTATTTAACAGCTTGCAAGGGAATTGCAGTGTAAAGTTTTGAGACCATGGAAACATGCCAGAGGAGTAAAATGTTATTTCACAATAAATAATTAATGACTTGAAAAAATGTAGCATTCCACATAGATCATTCTCAAATTAAATGCCAGGTTTTTGTAGTTTAAAAAAAATACTTTGTTTTTCTGACTTAGAGTTTATGTATGATACTTAAAAAGTTTGATTTGTTAATATTTCTAAACAATCCTAAGGGAATTGAATATGACATAAATTCATTGGTTAGAGCTCCAAACAGGAACACTGATAGTTGCAAAATGAGGCAGAAATAATTAATTATTAACAAAAATAGGTCTGCTAAATGAAAACAGTCTTTCAAGATCTTCCTTTAATTGGTTATTACTGATAACAATACTCTTCTATAATTATTACTGACCTACTTCGGTCAGCAATTTCATCCCTATTGTAGAAACTATTCAGCTGACTGAAACACACATCAAGCATTTCTTTCAGTTTTCCTAGTTTCACTCTCTGTTTTCAAAACAACATACTGGGCATAGTTAGTTGATATGCACTTTATAGTGAAACACCATTTTTAAAAACTGTATCCTCATTAATTTCAGTTATATTTATAAATATATGTGCTTTTATAGCCTGTGCTAGAGTTAGATGCCTTCTCGATCCAATTCTTGACAATTGGCATCTGTTAATGGATTGTTTTAAATAATATTGGCTATATGACTGGCAGCTGGCCGGTCAAGGTTTTTCAAATCCCTAAATGGTCATTAAGCCTAATACAAACTTTTAACCATATTCTTTGTCTCCCAATCCTTGATCGATAAACCTAGATCAGTAGTTCACTTTATTTACCAGTAGCAGGGATCCATATTCCCAGAGAACTTAAAAACCTCGAAAGACGATTAAGATAACTTCAAAAGTCACCCTTTGGACGAGTGAGGTTTTGCTAAACCAGAAAATCTTTTCAAATATTCTTATATGGTTTTATACATTTTCCCTGTGTTCTGAATGCTTACGTCTCATCCACTTAAAACTTTTAGAATAATAGAGAATAAACAAGCAATGAAATCGTAAGTTTGGGCGCCATCTCTGATGGTGCAGCATTTTCTAAGAAACGATCACTCGCTCAGTCTATTGTGAAGTACTGCATTCAGAGGCCATTCGTAGAAAATGTGACTGAAATCATCAAGATGTGGTGTTTTTAGAGGGCGTTTTGTTGCCTTTGGCAGAAAAAAACGGTGAAGCAGAAGCCGGTGCCTTATATGCATCAAGATGTTATTTCTTTTAGAAGACGTTTCACTGCCTTCGATGGAAAAAAAAGGTGACACAGGAGCTGCTGCCTTATATGGGGGAAAACATAAGTGCACTGTCTAACCTTCATGGCAAACTGACTGACCAGGGCTACTTGTAAAATGTTGATAAACTGTGTTTAGCCTAGGCGTGTAGCCTGTGGTACTTAACTTAGTTAAAACCCTTTCTTAGTAACTTAAACGGAAATAAAAGGCTTATCAGAAATGTTCAAGTTGCACACAATTTTTTCACTATTCTTTTATATAATTCTGCACTTTTGTCCAGGCAACTGAAATTGTAATCGGGCAAGTACGCCATGAGGCTTACTTGCCTGGCTGATGACTCTGAGAAAAAATGAATATGGATCTCTGCTGTAGAGGCAAGACTAAAGATTAGACAAGTACAGATCAGATGGTCAGTAAAAATTTTAGTGATATGAAAACCTTATAGTTGCCAGCAATTAGGCTAGACACTTTGTTAGGTATTATAAAAATTGGCAGAATGAAATGAGTTTAGGTAGCAGGTTTGTTAAACAACAAATTCTAATAACATCAGTAGACAAGAAGCACTTCTCCCCTCATTTCCTGACCAATCATAATCCTAGCCCTTAGAGACAAAGGAAATTGTGAATTGAACAAGGGAAAAATTTTAACTTGAAATCAAATTTTACCTGTGTTAAACAGATACACAACAGAATGCAGACAACATTTATTGAGATTTTTTTTAACTTTACGATTTCATTTCATTCATTTTTTAGTCAGTAATTTTGCTGTTTCGTCTTTGCATGGCAGTGAACTCTTTCATCATTTTCTTGAGTTCTGCACTTAAGACAAAACAGCTAAGTTGCCACACTTCTGTCTTGGGTGATATCAATGACTGTTTATTGACAACATACAAGAATTGACAACCGAGTGACTGACATCAATGATTGTATATTGCTCACATTTTCCAAATATGGTCAGTGCCAGTTAATTATGAAGAATAATCTTGCGCATTAAAGCCATTCAGAAATAGCAAAATATTTTGTATGAAAAATAAAATGATTTCATACACATTTTGCAAACCAGCAAAACCAATCACGTTGCATTTGACTTATGATGTATTGTCTATCTAAATAATTTTAAACCTCTTTAATGATACACTTGAGTGTTAAGTGTGGTGTTTATCTCTTCATAGTGACGTGAAGAGAGCGTTATACAGATGTATATCATGGCCATGCTGTCTGCACTGCTAGTACAAGCTAGTCGAACAGCATTTTTCCTTGATTCTCTTATGAGCGATTATTTTATTTAAATTTCAGAACAGGTTAATACGTTTTAAAACGTGCAACAAATAACGCAAATATTACTTGACAGATTGAGTTGAAAAATTTAAACTTAGCCAAAGATCCATTGACGTGATCGGCCTTACTTACAAGTTTCTCGAATAAAGAAGGAAACAGACGGCTTTAAACTTAAAGCTTGACTTCTTTACCCAAAAATACACTCACATTCAGCTTATAACAGCTAGTGCTGATTGCAATCGAGTCGGAAATTAATCTTAATAACTTAAACTAATTGAGCTTGGTAGTGATGGCTGATGAAAAGAGAACACTACCAAGAATACTTACAATTTCTTTGCCACAGTTTTCGCAACTGTAGCAGAACTCATTTATGTTTGCCTCCAAGCCTTCTTGCTGTTGTCAAATCCGTTGCAGTACCATGGAACAACACAGGAATGAAATGATAGTGAACGAAACAGACTCAGCTCTGCAGGAGAGTTTGGAAGATTTGATCTTGATTAATTAAGTCAATTCGTTCGCATGTTTTCACAATTTCATCACCTTAAAAGCAATGCTATCCTTTTCCGTAAAGAGAACTGAAGTTATCTAGTCATACCAATAACACCACAGCCCAAAGCAAAACACAATTCACCGATCCTTAAAAATTCACTCAAAGGCGTCGCTAAGTGCGAAGTATTTACCCGCCGCTGGCCTTAACGACGATCAAAAAACATCGATAATCATTCGAGCGTGGCGACGCACAAGTCGATAGATAGCCGGAAGACGTAATTATGCCATATTTAGGCATTGTTATGTGAAAACAGTGCACTATACAAAAGTTACTTTGTAGTGTGGCGATTTTGCATCCATGCTTAGTAGCTCAGACTGCTTAAAAAAGCTATCTTTTCCGAGTAGATTTGTTCGCCATATTAGAGGGCATAAAATGTTGTATATTTGGTGTGCGGTGATCGCGGCTTATGCAGCGATGATCTTGTATCTCCGACTTCCTATGGTTGTTTTCCCTGCATTTCTGTTTATAACCTTTCTGGCGTCTGGTGGGCGGAATTTCCCTAAAGTTTTCTTTCGAACGATTCTGCGTGATGTGAGGTACGTTTTTCTCTGATTTTTATCTAACAGACAATCGAAGGTTAACATAATCGTTTAATTTATGATCGTAATTTGTTAAACATGTACATTATTGATCAACAAGCATCGATCAGGTACTCTACCGGTGTGCGACAAACGCAGACTGCAGACTTGCGCAGGTAAACGAGGTAAATGTTGTTGTGAAATGCTTTAACAGATTCCCTGTCCCTAAACACTTAAAGGTTAGGGACAGGGAATCTGTTAGATCATTTCACAACAATGTTTACCTTATTTACCTGCAAGTCTGCAGTCTGCGTTTGTCGAACACGGTCTCAGACAAAAGTGTAGTGAGGACACTTCTACCAAAAGCTGTTTTGTCTTTTGCTTTCTGGCCCGTCTCCTTGTCCTCCCAATGTTGCTTATTACACTAAACTTACCAAATCTTGCACACCAACATTGGGAGAGTAAGAAGACAGTAAAGTGTCCCAACAATTTTGACTGAGACTGTACTTTATCTGGTCTGTAAACGCTGTTAGATAAACGAAATGGTTCATGCTTTTAGCTGTGTGTATATGGAAATATGGATGTACTTGCAGTCTATTCAACCTTATTGGGATTTTAGATAATTGAGGAATCATGCCAGCGCTGAAGGGGTGAGCTGCTAGGGCAAGCCCTAGGATTTCACAGTAACAATCGTTTCCGTTACCGTGTTGTTACCCTGATCTTAAAATAATGGAACCGAAAAATAGTTTGACATGTCCTGATATATTCAGACTGAGGGATCAAAATATGCCATGGTCATGTATACTAGGATGTTGTTTCCTTAGTTAGTAAAATGTTAAATAAACAACTGGTCAATAAATTTAGTTTTTTCCCAACCACGTGCATTAACCACTCCTTGCAATTGACCAAGGACCCAGGCTGTGTTTACAAGGTTCTTCAATTGGCAATTAATTTCAGAGAAGTACAGTAATGATTTTCACTTATGGTATATAACCAATGTCACATTTTATTGACATTGTTTGGTTTCATTGCAGGGGTATTTTTCGTTATTCAAAGGTGATTTATTACACCCGCCGTTATAAAAGAGAAAAGAAAACAGTTCCTGATATATTTCAACTAACAGTCTCCAAATATCCTCAAAAAGCTGCCATAATATTTGAGCAGAAAACTTGGACATTTCAAGAGGTTGAAGACTATTCCAACAGGATAGCCAATTATTTCAAGGCACTGGGTTACCAGAAAGGAGATTGCGTGGCTGTTTTATTAGAATCCAGCCCTGAGTTTGTCTGTGCATGGCTGGGACTGTCTAAACTTGGTGTTGTTACTGCTCAAATCAACACCAATTTGCGGCTTGATTCACTTTGGCATTGTATATCGGTTGCCAATGTAAAAGCAGTAATTTTTGGATCTAATTTCTCAGGTAAAAAAATCTTGGCCAAAATTACCAATATTCAGTTTATCCTGCAACCTAGCCCTCCATTTGACTATCCTAAGGGGTGAAAGGTTACGCACAAGCTACACTAAACAGGCAAAGCAAGGCAGGAGGGTGTAACACTGGTGAAGGGTGATTTTTTTCAAGTCTCACTCTTTTCCCAGCCAATTACTTTTCACAGCTTGGCCATGAGTGACCTTCTAAGCTTACAATTTCCCCATGGAGAGCTTGCTTGCAGTCTGTTTCCAATTGTTTGGTACATGTATTTGCACACAGTGAAATGAAATACAGTTTGTAAAGTGCCACTTATAAGCCTGGGCTTCTTAGTTCTACATCTTCATAAGGGGATTTAGGATGGCTTAACCCTTTAAGCTCCAATATCCACATACAAATTCTCCAAACTGGTCTTTATACATTTCCTTAAGGAATAAGTTGAGAGAATTTGGTAGAAGATCAAAGCATTTTCTCTTAGGTCATCATTTTATTGACTCTCATAACCATTTCTCTTGGCAACATATGGATATTGTTAGGAGAAAATTGATCTTGGCCACTATCGGGACTTAAAGGGTTGATTATAAAAAGAGGGGCTTATTTTGATGGGGGCTTATGACCTTAATAGAAAAGCGCTTACTGATCAAACAGTCAACAGTACTGATCAAAATTATACATTTTACATTTACTAGTATTAATTGTTAAGCTTCAAAACCCCGAGTAAAAAGTAACTAAACATTGCATACACTTTTATTTTTGCTATTACAGGTGCTATTAAGGAAATCCAGACCAGAATTCCAAGCAAAGTACAGCTGTACTCTTTAGGAGATTCCCCAACATTGCCTTCAGCGACCAATTTAGAGAAAGAGCTTGAAAATTGTTCATCTGTAGCACCCAATGTCACTCACTCTAAATCTATTGCAGGTAAGTAAAGAAGGCAAAAACCAAGCAGTTTGTAGGAAACTGCATGTATGTGTTCAATTTTATCCTTGGTTTAAATTTTATTTTCTTTTGTTTTTGGGTATGGTGATGTATGATAATGACATGATAATGAGTTTGAAACAAAAGAAAATAACAGGTTTTTGCAGAATTCATGATGGGTTAGCTGATTGTAGAAGTATAGGTAGAACCTGCATTACCTGACCAGAGCTCCCAGCTGAAACCATCGCAGCAAATAGAAAACAAAAATTGGCAACTAGAATGGGAACTAAAGTCATGCAATTTGGCTACCTGTGTTCAGCTGTCATGTACTACCCCATTAATTCGATTAACACCTTAAATTTTAGCATTTCCAATTCAGCATTTATTCAAGGCAGCATTTATTTCAAAATCACTTTTCTTAAATCACTGACACAGGATTCGTACAAAGTCTTGAATTCTTGAAAAAGTCTGAAAATTTTGCCCAGTAATTTTCCAGACCTGGAAAAAGTCTGGAAAATGGTAAAAAGTCTGGTAAAAAGTAAGAACCCTGCTGATAATAGTTACGGTAAATTGTTTGTAAATATTATGAAAAGTAAGGTTTCCAATGTCTCTCCTATTTTGCTGAGCGGTCGTCCTTCTTTCCTCAGAGCCACACACAGTGAGAGAAAAAAGTAAAATTATGCAAATTAATGGTAAAAGGAGGAGAGATTGGGGCAGAGAGAGGAAAAGGATGCCCTCGGAGATTTTATTGTATTTTGAATTACCATGAGTGAAACAGAAATGCCCGATTGGTCGGCTACTTGTCAATCTGTCAACACCAAAAAATCTCACTCTCAAGGGAGTCAGTACGGCTCCAACTTTTGTAGAACATGGTGACCAGACAAGAACTGCAGTCACTGCACTCCAGTTTCCAAATGGAAAGGGAGATCTGTTAATTGATTAACTAGCCCATGCTTTTGTGGAACCTGGAGTATATTCTCGATCAAAATATATCCTATCTAAATTTCTGTACATGACCACGAAAGGTGGTCAACCATAATACCGTATTGCCAGGCTTCTTTGCTTTTTTGCTTTCTTCTTCCCGTACTTTGAGGAATCCTGTTTTTTACAGAGTTTCGGGATTCATTACGATAGTATCATTGCAATACCTCACAGATGAGAAGAGATCCGATGTTCCTAATCAAACAGCAGTGAATACCCTCGTTCCTCGTGGCTTCGCCACTCACCCCCCTTGCATTCTCTCAATCTACTGTGACTCAAAAGAAAAATAAGAGAGAGCTCACAATCTAAATCGTAAATGTCTGGATGGTGTAAATTACCAAGTTGTACCGAGTTTGTTCTATTATCCTCCAATAAGCGCCACATTTTTTCGATAAGGTGCAGCATTTATTCAAGGGCGGCATTTATAGGTAATTTTGCTTCAATCTACGGCATTTTGTCAAGGGCTGTGTTTAATCGAATAAATACAAAAGTAGGTTGAGTGTGATCGTCCGGGTGAACATAGTCCTGAATAGGACTGTTGTTGTTGACAGTGACTGACGTTTCGACAACAAAGTGAGACGTTGTATCACGTCAGTTGATGGTATTATACTGTGGTTATTGATCTGATTGGTCAATTACGTCACAATGTTATTGGTCGTCTGTCAGTTAAGCTGTGATGTTATTGGCTATGAAGACTCATAATCAGTAATTGGTGCGTTTCGATCCGTCTATTGTCACAGTTAACCCTTGAAGTCCTAATGGTGACCAACATCAATTTTCTCCTAACAATATCCATAGATTGTCAAGAAATTAGGTTATGAGAGTTAATAAAATGATCATCTAGGAGAAAATGCTTTGATCTTTTATCAAATTCTCAACACATTCTTAAAGGAAATATGTAGAGATCAGTTTGGAGAATTTGTATGTGGTTATTGGGGCTTAAAGGGTTAAACAGTCGTCTATTGTTAGTCAAATTATCAGTTCTCCAGTCGTTCTCTTGTAGTTAGTTTTGCTTGATCTTGTGCTTTTATTAGTTTTGTTCATGGTCCCAAAGTGCCCGCAAAATAGGGGTTAACTGTCAGTAGGACAGTCATTGGATTTCTCTTCACCTCTCTTGACTGCATTTGTCCTCTGTGGGTCTTCTAACTCCTGTACATTCTCTTATTCTTTTTAGATAAGTTACTGTATATTTATACATCAGGGACTACAGGATTGCCGAAAGCTGCAGTTATAACAAATGCTAGGTATGTACAGACTGCCTGTGTAGCAAGCATTTCCTTGCAAATTCATTGAGAAAGTTGGGAGGAGAGCAAAGAAGAGGAGTGAATGGGGAGGGGTGGGAGGTTTCCTCTTCTCCCCCCCTCTTCCCCTTCAATGTTAATTCTATTTGGTCAGAGGCCTGGTCTCATCTACCCAAGAACATTTACAATTTTACCATCCGCTACATCAACAACTCCCTTCCTACACGTAAGAATATGGCAAGATAGGAATTATTACCAAGTCCTTATTGCTCCTGACTGCTCCTTAATCCTTAAGCACTCCTTCATATTGTCGCTGGTTGATCACTTCACCTGGGGACAACCCTTCCCTTCATTGCCATTCAACCTGGAATTTAATGTTCACCCTTCACTCTATGCCGATGTCAAAGGTTTTCTGAATCCTTCAATAATAACCGGTGAAAATTATCATCCAGATCTTCTTTTCCTAATTCAGTCCAAGTGCCTACATGTTCTAGAATAAACAGTTGGTTTTGAGTCTAACCTTAATAACAATGCAGTGCGTAAAAAAAAAAACAGATCTTGGTCAAAGAAATGAGCAGAAATTACAGATGTGTGAAATTTGTAAACCTCTCCATGAGCTCCCTTGGTGTTTTCTATGACAAATGTTCCACTTTCTTAAACATTGGCATTGACAAAAAGCAGCAACATTATGTGTCAAAAAAATGATAAAATAATATAGCCATTAGAGTAACATATTACATCTTTTGTTGTAGAGATAGGAATTGGGATAGCCCAGACTTAATGACATTTTGATTTTTGAATAATTCAATCTCAAGCAGCCAATTGTAACTTGCCTATACGTAGCGAGATTTACAAATTAATGTACATTCAAAAAGACAAATAAAGTTTCCATTATTTAGAAAGACACTGGTATTAACTCTTAAGAAATTTACTGCTTTTAGCTGGAAACCAAGTTATTTTAATGCCCCACCTCTCTTTCTTTTCAGGAACATTACATGTAGCTCCACGTACTCCTTTATTACCAATTTCTTATCTTTTAGATACTTTAGGATGGCATATGGGATAACATGCGCACTCTGCGTAAGTACAGAAGACATTGTTTACTCCTCCCTGCCCCTGTATCACTCTTCTGCTGGCGTCCTCGGTGTCGGGCAGTGTCTCATTAATGGATGTACATTGGTTCTGCGACGCAAATTTTCTGCCAGTCAATTTTGGGATGATTGTGTAAAATCAAAGGCTACAGTAAGTGCTGTCATTTTTCTTTTATTTTTGTGTTTGATTTAATCGGGGCAATGTGGACACGTTTTGCATGAGCAAAACTCATACTCCAGTCAGAACAGTTGCAACTCTTACCCTTTTATTGTTGTAATCACGTATGAGGATGTTGTGGCTTAATTTCATCCTAACCTCAATTAGTCTTTATTTTTTTTGTGCATGTGTGTGTATGTAAGTGTTTGATGTTGAGTAAAAAAAAGGAAAATAAAGTTGAACCACAGGGATATTGAATCTATGGACAAAATTATGTTAATAATTTGACCATAATGAACCTGTACCTCAGCGGTTCTCTTGCGTTGTTTGTGTTATTCATGCTTCATGATTTTACTTTGAGAGCACTAAGTGCTTAGCAAAAGAGCTCATACTAATTTTTCATGTTCTGAAACTGTTCTTGCACGTCAACACGTTATTTGACGATGGAAACGTTTATGAAGGGGTCGGAAGGTTCATGAAGTCAAACACAGTCCTAAAGGCAATACCTTCACTGTTATTTTTTCTTGTGCGTTAGATCGTTCAGTACATTGGTGAGGTTTGCCGCTACCTTTTGGCTCAACCTTATCGTCCTGCTGAGAAACAGCATTCGGTGCGCCTGGCATTTGGCAACGGTCTCCGGCCTCAGATTTGGGAAGAGTTCCAGTCCCGCTTTGGCATCAAACAAATTGGGGAATTTTATGGCTCAACTGAAGGAACTGCCTCCGTAGTCAACATAGACAACAAGGCTGGTGCTTGTGGTTTTGTTTCAGAGATTGCGCCCGCTATCTATCCTGTGACCATTATCAAAGTTGATCCTGACACGGGGGAAATAGTGCGTGGAGCAGATGGACTGGCTGTGAGAACCAAGCCTGGGGACGTTGGACAGATTGTTGGGAAGAGCTCAAAAGGTATTTTGTTTGACTTTATTCGTGCTGATTTTTGCGAGGCTTATAAACAATTTTGTGAAATGTAAGTCCCACAAAAGAAGCGAAGTTAAGTTGTCGTGATTTTCGTTTTGTTATTGTTCTGTTAAGTGTTGACTTAGACTCTTTTTATCCTCATTATGTTTCTTTCATTACGACTTTTCTGACAAATCGCGAAATTCAAGTTTCGCAAAATGTACCTCTCCCATTTTCAACAATTATGTGACCGGGAATATTAGCACAAATTAATATTTTATTCTGTAATAAACACCAATTTGGCCTACTTATTACTAAGCTTGAAGCTGCCTTGACTTAAGTCACAGGTGTCCCAACTGATCCTTTTCTTTGAGTCACAGGTGACCCAACTGACCCCTTTTCTTATGTCACAGGTGACCCTTCTAATCGTTTCGAAGGCTACCTTAACCCCGTGGAGACTTCCAAGAAAGTCGCCCATGATATATTCCGTAAGGGTGACACGGCCTTCCTTTCTGGAGACTTGGTAGTGAGGGATGAGTTGGGCTACATCTATTTTCGCGATCGAACCGGAGACTCGTTCCGTTGGCGCGGTGAGAACGTGTCCACAGCTGAAGTCGAGGCGATAATGAGCAAAGTACTTGGTCTTTGTGATGTTGTTGTTTACGGTGTCTTGGTACCCGGCTGTGAGGGGCGTGCGGGTATGGCGGCCATTGTCGACCCAGACAACAAAGTTAATCTTGAAGGTTTGGCTACTAGTCTGAAGAAATTATTGCCGAGTTACGCTTGTCCGATGTTTCTTCGGATTGTGCATAACGTTGACATAACTGGTACATTTAAACTTCAGAAGAACAAGTTAAAGAGTGAAGGCTTTGATATAGGCCTCGTGGAAGACCAGTTATACTACTTTGATTCCAGAGAAAAATTGTATAT